CAATTTTCATTAAAGGTGCATTCAATCATAGAAAATGCAGAACGTACAGATGACGAACAGACAGAGCAAGGTAGGATTTCAAAGGCTCGTATAATTCGTTAAGTTCAAATTCCAATTTAAGCGACAATCCATGTAATCTGAATTTATTTTCAAAGATTCCATAATTTCTTCAATTCTCATAATTTTATTCTTACAAAGTCATGTCTAGCTCGATTTGTCTCACTCAAATGAAATATATTCCTTCTTCCTACTGCAACGATCAAATTTATCGACCAAATAATGATAAATAATTGAGTTTCCCATGAGAAAATTATCTTAAAATATGTAACAAAAATGTGACAAGTAATAAAATTGACAAATATATGATATATTTTGGGATGAAAGCAGGTGCATCAATATAATTTTCAACTAATCAGAACTGGAGTACACCAACATTAATTTTTCTCCTGAATAACTTCTATTAGTGAGCATCAAAATAAAGCCATTTGAGTAATAAAACTTCCATTATGTTGCTTCTGCATTGGTAGAGGTTTTTAGGTAGGCAACTTGGAGTGAAGTACCCCATTGTCTAGTCCCATAGCTATGGACTCAATTGACTTCATTAAAAGCTAGGTTAGGTTAGGTTAAACGTGAGTGGGCCCATGTCAGGCCCTCCACTGCGGCCTATGGCCTATTGTGGCTCACCCTATGGTTATATTTCTTCCAGTATATCTAATCTCTTGATTAAATTAAGGAGTACGTTGGGAGAACAATTCATCAGGTTTTCTGGCACTACTGTTGAATTGCCAAATGTTGAAAATCTGATTCTGGCCGCTGCAGGGCATGTACATGAAATGTGTTTAGCCGTTTCATCCTCCTCCATGCATAGACGGCACTCTGAATCTTGTGCATGTGGTGTTTGAGTTTGCAGTGGCCAGTGAGCAAACCTACTATAACTCTGAGAAGTGCTCTACTGAGTTCTAGTAGTTTGTCCTGTTTGTTCCTTGTACAAGCAATGAATGCTTTGGAATGGGCTAGCCCCGGTAGACTACGCCAATACTCGAGTCTTTACTTGTCGGCCCAGGATTTTATAACATTCTTGGCCATGCTATGTGCTATACCGATTACCGGTTCTGGCCCAGTGAACGATGTTTCGGCCTCCCCTTTTGCTAGGACGTTCGCTATTTCGTTCCCTTCTAGGCCCGAGTGACCTGGTATCCAGACTAGGTTAACGTTATTTATTTATTTATTTATTTATTTATTTATATTCACACAGGCCTATTGGCCTAATTACATGAATATATATATATATAAATATTGAAGAAATACAGTTGATTCTAATGTGTTACAGAAGAGAGAAAAATATAAAAAGAAAAAACAGTAGAAATGTGTGGGACAGCAATACGAAATGAAAAGTGTTGTTGATATCTATAATAGCACATACAAGTGGGTCAGTATGATAACATTTGTTGAAAAATTACTTTTTTAAATCTGTTGAATGTCATAGACCAGTCTAAATCAGTTAATGAATTTATATAATTAGCTAATTTGAGCATATTTACAAGAGGGGAGTGGGATGTTGTGGATATTAACGTGGTATTAAACATCAGAGGAAATCTGGTTCTGCGGGCCGACACATGAAAAGATATCAGAGCTAAGAGATCCGAAGAATTGATCTGATAATTTATAATTTTATACAAGAATGACATCATACTCACTTTAATTCTGTTATCAATTGAAATAACACCAAATTCTGACCTGAGCTGAGATGATCGAATAGTTACAAAGTCTGGCCATCTTCTATATTTCCTGAAATATAGGTGCCTCAAAAAACTATTTTGTACTTTTTCTAAGGATTTCAGAGTAGTTTGCGATTCTCCATTCCAAATTACTGAGCCAAATTCAAGTTTTGACCTCACAAGAGTGTAGTATAACCCGATTAATGTTTTTACATGTCTAAAGTTAGAACCTTGTCTAATAACGAAACCAAGTGTTCGTGTTGCAGACTTTGTGGTATTTTCAATGTGTTTTTTGAATGACAATTTATTATTGTATGTTATACCAAGATCTTTGATTTCAATGCATCTCTTGAGATAATCATCAGCTATTTTGTAATCAAAAATTATTTGTTCTTTAGCACGAGATATTGTCATTACTGAGCATTTTCCAACGTTGAATGGTAATTTGAATTCATCGCTCCATTTGTATAAATCATTTACATCTTTTTGAAGTAAGACACAATCTCTGACTGTTTGGATTTTCTTGAATATCTTCAAATCATCTGCGAATAACAAACATTCCGAATATTGGATCACCGAGGGTAAATCATTAATAAAAAGAATGAAAAGTAAAGGCCCTAGGTTTGATCCTTGAGGCACTCCTGAGTTAGCATGGAATTTTCCGGAAGTATTACCATTATACCTAACTATAAAATTTCTGTTTTCTAAATAGTTTTTCAAAAGCTTCAAAATTTTTGCAGATAATCCAAACTTGTAAATTTTTTTCAATAGAATATCATGATTTACTTTATCAAATGCTTTACTAAAATCTGTGAATATGGTATCCAATTGCAAATTTTCATCCATGGCATTATTAGCAGTATTTGTGAATAAAAATAAATTCGTATTTATTGATTTTTTGCTCATAAACCCGTGTTGTTCGTTCACTATGTTCATTTCGACATGTTTATAAAGTCTATTATAAATAATTTGCTTAAATAGTTTTGCAGGTGCGCACATAATAGATATCGCCCTATAGTTTTCAATTTTCATTTTGTCGCCAGATTTGAATATTGGTGTGCTAATTGCATTCTTCCATATATGTGGAAAAACTGAACTATTGATGATCAGATTGAAAATATGAAGAAGAGGTTTCTTTATATATTGATAACATCCTTTAAGGACATATGGTGGAATTCCATCAACACCTGACGCTTTTTTAGGTTTCAGTTTTTTCATGGCTTGATCTAACTCTAATTCACTAATTCCATTAATGACCAGAGTATCATTACTTACACTTACATCATCACTGAAATCTAGATTATATGTAGATTTATCAGTATCGTAAATTGACGCAAAAAAATCAGCAAATTGATTAGCTATATCATTATCAGGCACATTTATGCCTTTGTATGAAAATGAATTATTATTCATACAATTTGTTTTCTTTTTATTGATGAAATTCCAGAAATTGTTGATGTCCAACTTCATACTATCCTCTAGTTTTTCCATATAAGCGTTCTGTGCTACTTTAATTAAAGACTTCAGCCTTTTTCTACATTCAATATATCTATCATTGTAAAAAGTGGAGACAAATCTCAACTTCCTAAATCGTTCCTTTTCAGTTATTAGTTTTTTTATGTCTTCACCAAACCAGACGGGACATTTTTTGCATCCAACATACTTATTGTACTTTGGCACCCAAGTTTCAACGATGTTATTGAATATTCTGTAAAATTATCCTAAGGCCGTGTTCACATTTGAGCAATCGATTACCTCCGCCCAATCAGTGTTTTGCAAGTTCAAGCTGATTTCTAGAAAATTTGCCTTCTTGAAGTTATATTGAAAATCTGTCACTCTTGTTTCCACTTTCTTGATGCTTATATTATTCTCAATTTGTATTTCTAGTGTTGGATGAAATATGTCTTCCTTGATAATCGGAATATCTTCCTTTTTTACTGTTATCAAAAAATAATCTTTTGGCCCTATTACTAAATCTAATGTTTTATCTTGAAAATTTTTCACATCATTATAAAGTATGAATGAATTAAAAATCATGAATTCATCTAAAAAATTTAATTTTTGATTCGCGCTGTTGAATTGTGTGTTAATTCCTTCGATTTCAGGTAAATTGAAGTCTCCAAAAATGAAACATTGTTCGGTATTAAGAATATGTGATTGTAAAAAATATATACAAGATTCATATACATCAGCAGAACTCCGTGGAGGAATGTAGACACAGGATAGTGTAAATATAATGTTAGATATTTTAATATGTAAAATCAATGCCTCAAACGTACTATTATTTCTCATTATTTTAATTATCTTGTATTTTTTACTCACGGCCATCAGAACTCCACCGCCTTTACTTTTTTTTGTAATGGACAAATTTCTATCAGCTCTCACCAGGTTATATACATTACAATCCACAACTTCCCCATCCCTTACTCCTTCTTGTAACCATGTCTCGACTGCCAGTATCACATCATATTCGTGAGACAAACTGTTTCTGAAAAAATCATTCAGCTTCGTATTGAGTCCCCTACAATTCTGATAATAAAGAGATAAATGGACCATACATGTGTCACTCGTAAGCTCCCTCGCAACTATAATCAGCATGGATTGGTAGTTATTCAAGAATTAAAGATTCAAAATACCTCAATTCACACGTGAATTCAGTATTCAACTAGTACCTAATGATAATGTTATTACTAATCATCTAGACAGATATATAGCTGATAGAAATAATATACTGATCATCCACACAGATGAATAATAATATACATAAATATATCTTCAATTCTATTATAAGTATTCCCTAGTAGATATATCTAAAATGTGAACTGAAAAATTAAGAAGTTCGCATTACTTCAATGAGTACTCCTAAGATAATATAATTATAGCTGAGATAAGAATAATATTGAAGAAAAATAATAATAATAATTACTCTGTGAGAATCTATCATAGAAATAATTAGTATACAGAAGAAGTATTCATATAGGATAATATTGATATTGTTTATAACATTATTCAGAAAAATTAATCAAAAAAAATGATCACTGTGTCAATCTATCAAACAAATAATTAATAAGTATAGAAAATAACTATTCATATGGTGTACACCTGCCTTAATGTTAAAGTTAAACAAAAACAGAAAATTTAGCTGCTAGCAAAAAAGCAAGGTTGAGAACAGTGACTGATGAACAATATTTATATTTGCAGGGTTGTCATATTGACGATTTTATAAGTCATCTACACTATTTATCATTTTAATCTTTCCATTGTTTCTCACACATATTCTACCTCCTTGGGACCATACTTCTTGAGGGCCATATTTTTTTTTCGCTAACACTTGCAGCTTATATCGTACACTAGATAGGTTTTCATTTATGAATATTCCACTTCCTTTCAATGACTTTTTGGCTTTGAATACTTCGTTCCGCTTCATATAGCTAATGAAATCGATAACTATTGCCCTGATAGGCTTTGATGATACATCACTGACTTTTCCGACTCTGAAAATATTGTTGATGTCGGAGGGTAGGCACTTAATTTGTAAACCATTATTTATGATATTGAGGACAGTTGCTAATAGATTTTCATTCTCTTCTTCCTTGACTCCAACAATACGTAGAGAATTTGATCTTCTGGATTGTTCCATATTATCTACCTCGTTTGATAGTTTACCAATGTCAATCATATTTGAATTCGCCATTTTCTCAACAGTTGCGATTCTAGCAAATTCATCATTCATTTTAGCTTCCATATTATCCAGTTTCTGATTCATTTTTGCCAAATGTTCCCCAATACTAGCTGTGACTTTAGCAGATATTTTGCTGATCATACTGTCGACGAGAAAATCATCCATATTATGACTTGATTGGCTATTACTTCGAGTTCCTTTCATCTTTGTAAGTTTGGCAACTATGTTCGGAGTTGAGATATCCGAAACTATACAATTCAATATCAAAAGTGGGCTTTTGATTGCTTCTCGTGTTCAAATATTCATTCACTTTGAAGGACACACTTAACTTTCACTGAACTCACAAAATCTCTATAATTCAATTACGATAATCCACCGAAATTCAACATTTGCGGGAGCTCACTGATCGTGCTCACTCGTGCACGGCGGCCATTATTGCATTGTGCCAGTCGGTTTGAGGTTTCTCTGCAGTTCCATACTACTCTAGATTTAAAGCAGTTGGATTCAAGTGCTTTCAGTGCTGCTTGACTATCTGAGAATCGGGTCGATTCTGTTCGGATCTTGTTATAACATTGCTAAGATAATAATATTGTTATGATCATAACATATAACAATATTGCTATGAACTTCTGTATTCTGTATGCAGAATAACAGCAAGATTGGTTATAAGTTCAAGTGATAGCAATATTGTTGAAAAATTTAGAATTTTTGAGCTGACAACACTGTTTTCAACTCATTGTTTAAGTGTTAGGTATCGATTTTGCCATTATTTCATGGAGAAGAAAAGTTCATGATTATTTAACCTCTCAAATTAGTCTGTCCTGCACTGACATTTTACAACATTATATTGTTCAAATTGAGAGATTTTGTATTCATGTCCCCGAAATGAGAAAACAACTAAGCCGGATGAAAATGATCGCGATTTTTTTTTAAATATTCTAGCAAAATAGCTTGATAAACTATCCATCAGGCAACTGAAATGGTTTTCTGGTTTCTCTGATATGCCAAAATTGTAGTGTCATATTCCCTCTTCAAATTGAAACTTCAAGAAAAGGGTTTCAAGTAGTTGGTCACAGTAGTGAACCTATCCTATAAGTTTTTCAATAATTCTTCTACAAATTGAAACTTTGAGCAAGTATGATCTTTGCTTTGGGGAAAGATTTTCGAGTAGTCAGTGGCACAAGTGAACTATCATATGTTTTTAATCCACTATTTTCTGAATTTTCATACACTTGGAAGAAACAAAGGATCCACTACCTTGTTATAAGATAGCAAGCACAAAATTGATGTTGCCGAGATAGCAAGAAAGCTGACCAGATGTCATTGAAATTGACAGATCATATCGCCAAAAATCGATGATTAGAATTACACTTTTTCGAATCTTGCTATGATAGCAATATCTTCTCTACAACCATATTTCTATTTGCAAACAGAATCGACCCGAATGTCTTTATTGTTTTTTATGTGTGGTGTCGATTGCCCAGGACATAAATACAATTCTCCCAGGAATTAACACACCACCAACAAATACCCAAAAGTTTAAAGTAGATTTTTGTCAAAACTACTTGTCCGATTTGTACGTTTTTGGTTTTGAATGACAGGTTATCTCCTTCTGAACAATGGTGTGCAATTTGTATTCGCTTAAAAAACTCTTCTTTATGAATACCGGGTGTACCAATTGTTGCTTGTTTTTTTCATAAAGTTTGTAATACCTTGTAGAGCGCAGCAGTTACATTATCAAGCTAGAATTGTAATTACACCTCATTTCATTCTTGGATTCACTCCATTATCTTTCCTATTACATCAGAAACACTAATTCAAAGCAGAACATGATTTTAAGGAAATTTAACATCCAAATCTAACAACGAAAAAACGAAACAGAATGCAAAGAAACAAATTAAACAATAGTGTCAGTAGCGAGTATTTCCGCATCTGGCACGAATAACTTCTTGGCAACGACGGATCATACTTGCCGAACGTCTTCCAAAGTATTCAAGTTAGGTTCCTCTCGTAATCTTCTTCCAAGAATATCCCAGAGATTCTCAATAGGGTTCAAATCCATGCTTCCTGCTGGCCATACCATAGTAGCGATACCAACTTTTTCTAGATAATTGCTTAAAACTCGGGCGATTTGAGGCCTGGCATTATCTTGCATCAACAAAAAGTCTTGCCCCATATAAGGCGCAAATGACATTACATGTGGTTCTAAATCTCCAATATGTACCTTTCAGCTGTAAGGCTTCCATTTACGATCACAAGTTCCGTGCCACCAGTCAAGGAAATACCGCCCCAGACCATCAAAGATCCTCCACCGAATAATGTGGTATGTGAGAAATTACCCTGAGAATACTTTTCGTTAGGGCGTTGAACAAACAAAATCGGAACTCATCCGTGAATAAAACATGTTGCCATTCAGCCTCTAACCAGTTACGATGTTCAATGGCAAAATTTAGCCTCGTTCTCCGATGATCTCTACTTAAAGCTGGATCTCGAGAAGCAATTCCAGGTCTCAAATTCATTTAGTCGCTAACGAACAGTTTCTGTACAAACTTGTGAATCATCAACATTTCTAAGCTGAGTTTGGAGTGTCCGAGCTGTTACAAATCGTTGTCTTAATGCAGAAAGTCTTGAAAATCAATCCTGAATCGAAGTTGTTATTCGAGTCATTCCCTTTCCTGGCCTGCGACGATTATTTCCAGTCTCTCTATGTCTTTGTATGACTCGTGAAACGGTTTTGTGACTTCCTTGAAATCGTTCACCAATTCTTCAGTATAAGTCAAACCTTCCTCAAACAATATTAATGTTTGACCACATTCTTCCCGTGTGATATTTCGCGTTTCTCTTTGCATATTCGTCGATAAAACAATTCGTAGAACAAGAACTAACACTGACAATATGTATCTGTATTTGAAAATTACGGGTTCTCCATATTTTTCTATAGCCTGCTACCGATAAGCTCGTAATGCTAGTTGAATCCAATAAAATCATGTTATGGTTTGAATTGGTGTTTCTGGAGTAATTGGAAAGGTAATGGAGTAAATCCAAAAAAGAAATGTTGAAAAAAGATGAGGCTAAAGTGTAATTACAATTCTAACTTGATAATGTTTGAAAAAAACACGCTACAATTGCTACATCCGGTATTCATAGAAAATAGGTTTTAATACGAAAACACCCCATTGTTCAGAAGGAGATAACCTGTCATTCAAAACCAAAAACGTTCAAATCGGACAAGTACTATTGGGCATTTTTTGGTGGTGCGTTTACTTTTGGAAGAAGTGTAGATCGTGATACTATTGAAAATAAACAGAAGACATAACTCACCGGCCAGCCCGTTGTTGGGCATCTCCGACTGATCGGCCGCCATGGCAGCGTGCGCGTGCTGCTGCTGGTGGGGATGGTGGTGGGGGGCAGCGGTCGCGTTGGAAGGCGCCGAAAGGAGAGCGGGCGCCGCCGCCTGCGCGACCTTCAGCTGTCTGGCCGCCGCCGCGCCGCCTGTCGCGCCGCTACGTCTCGCGGCGCCGGTCCCGCTGCCGCCGCCTCCGCTCGAGCTCGCGCACGAACCCGTCGTTGAGCTGTGCCCTGCAACGATAAATGGCGAGATGCATTTTTTCCACCAAAGGCTGTAGAACCCACTATTATCAACTACTTTTTACCTCTTTGTTGACCGACGGTACTTCTGAATATAGTTTATACGAAGTCAGTTGAAAAACTTCAGTTTTTAAGGACGATACGAGGATTTGTCGATTTGCGTAACATTGGAATAGGGATGAATGAGATATTCTCTCATTGGTTACTCTAAACTATACTGAATGTTGATTTATCAGAATTGCATGGCGGTATTCTGTGTGATAAGAATCTTCTAGCCTGCGCTAGACCGTGCGGTACGAGCTAGGTTGCCTTCATTGGTTCAACTCGAAATTCTATTTCAATCATAGTGGTTTTGTGTTCTGGAGGCCTTTTCAGGAAGTCAACGAAGTGAGTGATAGTGATTCGGAGGAAGAGCAAGCGGAGTTCGCCAATAAAGACTTACACGTTCAAACGAAAAGGGTAATTTTGAATATCTATTCGCGTCTCAAGGACGAGAATAATGATTCTTCAGAAAACCAACTCGTGAAGAGAATACAGGAATTAACTAAAATAAGCTATACTCACCATATACAGAGTTAAAACCGGAGGTGTTGTAGATCATGAAGTTAAACGAAAAAGAGTGGGACAAAAACTCAAGAAGCTTGATGATGCCTCGAAAGAAGTGATTCTTCGAATTGTCTATAGATTTCATAATGAGAATAATGTGCCAACATTGCCAGATATTAGGGATAAGTTGAATGAATACGCGGATTATAATTACAATTCCTTAAGTACGTTGCGAAATGTTTTACTAGATTGTGGGTTCAGTCATAAGAAATTAGGATGGTGATTATGGAATCTAGACCCATCGTAGACCATCGGCAAGAATATCTACGTAAAATAAAGGAATACCGTGAAGCGAATAGACCTATAATCTAAATGAAACGTGGTTCGACACTCATAACGTTGTTCAATACGGTTGGGTAGATAATAGCAAAAGAATTATAATCCTTCATGCTGGCAATGAAAATGGATTTGTTGACAATGCATTGTTGTCTGTCAAAAATATCAAGCAATCCTCTGCCGATATCACGAGGATATGACGGCAGAATTATTTGAGAAAAGATCAGAGCAGCAGCTTATACCAAATATTCCAGAGAATCTAGTCATCGATATGGATAATGCCTCATACCATTCACGTCAACAAACGTAAATACCGAGTACTAACACGAAAAAGGCTTACATTATTCAATTTATGGAGAAAGAGGCATGAAAATATCTCCTAAATAACTGAAGAAAGAATTACTGGAAATGATCAGGAAACAAAATTTCCCGGAGGGATATGTAGTTGATGAACTCTTACGGCCATACTGTCTTACGTTTGCCCCCATATTACTTTGTTTTTAACCCCATTGAGATGGTCTGTGCTGCTATTTAAAGCAAAGTACGTAAAAATAACCAATCACCGCAATTTAGCGAGTCAGTTTCAACCAGGACAGTAGTTAATGTGATAAACGAGAGTTACATATGTAGGAATCGTGTATCTCATGTAATCAAAAAAGAAAATGAATATTGCATCTTACCACGTATCAATCCAGTGATCATTAGGGTACATGAAGATTCAAGTCATGAAGAGTCCGATAGTGACTAGTGAAATATCATCCAGTATTTGTGTACAACAGTTTCGAAAACTAATGAGTGGTATGCTGTGAATCATATCGTGATTATCATAACCAAAGTGTGAAGTTAAGGAAAGTGATGTGATATGTGTAGTGAAATTGTGTAAAGTGTAGGAAAATGATGTGACATCTAAATTGAAACTGTGGAACTGTATCTATTTCTTATTTCACAAAAAAAAGTATTTTTTCTTCGTATGATTTTAAACCAATCAGAACAATGTTCAATTGAGTGAGTGACCTTGTGGAGAATTTTGATTTAGTTTAATTTTATATTCATATTCCAAATGTGGGACGATAGGGCTAAAAATAAGTTACCAGCCATGGGTGCCTCATGGGTGGTCTGGAAACTTACTAATATTCGATAGAATTTTGATTTAGTTAAATTTTATATTCATATTTCAAATGTGGGATGATTGGGCTATTGACGAACACCCACTAAAAACAAGTAACCAGCCATAGGTGCCTCATGGGTGGTCTAGAAACTTACTAATATTCGATACTCTCATGTTCCAGGAAAGTAGTTGTTTTCTATTGAATAAACTGAAAAAGAGTTGATATTCTCATCACATAGAGAATGCGAATTCTCAATGTATTGCTTTATTTAAATATACAGTATGATGCAAATGTATGGAATGAATTCATTATTTCAGAAATGGGCGACATTTGAAGAAATTCCAAAAACACGTGAGTTTTAATTTTTGAAGCCTCATCTCATGACATTCATGTGAGAGATGTTACGTCACTGGTGTAGAAGTAATGACGTAATGGACGATTTTTTCAAATACAAGCAGGGGTCATGTGACATCTCGTTTGAAATGTCTACTGATCGTCTATCCAACAGTCAAAATTTTGCATAAGAATATTGCAATTAAAATGGATTATCATTTGGTTAACTGAATCTTGCAGAGGTCTGCTACTGGGAATTGAACATCGAAGGGTAGTCTAGTTGAAAAAATACACAATAAAAAAAGTTCTGAACTCTAGTTTTTGGATTTTTTTCGGAAGTCGTCTTGTTTTGAAATGAATTTATTCCATACATTTGCATCATACTGTATATCAATTTTTGTATGTTCATAATTTATCTGAGAATATTCCTTTTCAATATATAGATAATTTTTGAAAAATCAAAAATTCATTGGAAAACAGCTTTAATTTGTGTTAACGAAAAAATATTTTACCCGCCGCTGTGGGCTGCGGCTTGTCAAAGGATTTGCCGACATGCAGCCGGTTAAAATTATTTTTGGCTTTTTCAACTGACTTCGTATAAACTATACCTAAGATTTCAAACGCGTGTAAAATGCATATACAGTGTGTCCCGCAAGTAGGTGCAGCTTGTCTAATGCATGTACGCTGACTTGTTTTGACCTGTTGAATTTGAATATGTAAAAATATGCAGGGTGGTTCCATTTGGAAAAACAAAGATGCTGGCATTTTCATAAAAACCGAAAGTCCGCCATATTGGATTGTAATGTAATCAAATCCCAAATGGTTGCTCATATAGCTGTACCAAATTTCAGAGAAATCCGCTTACGAATGCCGAAGTCACAGTGGTGGCCCGATATCCTGTGTCACCCGGTATAGTAAGATAACGGAATAGTAGTATTGCCATTAGGACAAGACTCATTAAAATAATGTGATAAATTTCAATCTCATGAAGATTTATTACATTTGGCTCTATTCCTCTATTACATATTGTATGCCTTGAATGTCTATAAAAACTCAAGCTCACGTCAGATGTAGCGAGCGGACACGATGACGTCACACTCATGCGACATTGAATACTGATGACGCAACCTGTCTAGTTCATGATTCTTGGGAACAAGTTTTCTTATGTCATGCATTGTATCAGTCAAACAATACAACTGCCAAGCTTCTTCTTACTGTTCATTACTAGAAAATTCTCCCACCATATAAATCTACTATTTACACTGATAGTCACAAGACGAAATCTCATCTATTTAGAAGATTAAAATGGATCCCATGAAGTATGTGCATCTAGAACGTATCATACAGGGTGTCCCAAGTTATCTTATACAAGCAATATCTTGCTTATTTGCTAAGATAATTGAAAAATAAAAAATCTTTGACTGGCATTGAATTACCTTCCTTATGACTTATGAAAAAATATCACATGTGACAGCCCTATGGTAGCTACCCCTCACTCATGATTTTCAAATGACACTTCCTGTATAAAATGGAAAAAAATATTCTTTATTGACATTGATCATTGGATGTCATTCTATTTGGAATAAAACGATAGCACATAGTTGGTACCTAGCTATCACAGGGCTGTCACATGTAATTCATTTTTATATAAGTCATTATGAACTTTAATGACATTCAAAGAAGTGTTTTTATTTTTCAATTATCTTGTCATGTAAGCGATATATTGCCTGTACACTATAACTTGGGACATCCGTACTGACGTTCCGAATACTAAGTGACATATGTCGAAAACATGAATGACAGTTCAGATGAGATTTTCGGGTTGTGAAACAGTTAGGTGTATAATGAACATTGCCTCATTTGATTATAAAATGAAGCATATCTCGTTCACGAAAAGGCATCTAATAATTAAACTCTTTAACAGAATAATTCTAGAATTCGAAAGTTGTATGTATACGTCTACGAGAAAAATATTGATGAATCACCACCACCATCATACAACAGACTATTTGAATTTCAAAAAAAAAAACAAATGAAGGTTGAATATATTAGATGAATATTTTCCAACTACCTTGATTCTTTATAAACATGAACAGTTTTCTAGCCACAATTCTATAACCTGCCGTATCATATTAAACATAAATAATATGAATAAAAGAAAATCAAACGCGAGATTGGGGTGTCGATTTTCACCAGTTCTTATCGAATTATATGAATAAATAATATTATTGGAATAATTACAACAGCAATAATCGTGATAAATGATACAATACAAAAGATGATAACCAAACTAGACTTTGTACCTGACATACCTAAATCCAAAGAGTCCAAAGAGTTTAATAATTCTAGTAATTCATGGTCAGCCATTGGAATTTACAAGCAAAAACGAAAAATCACTTTTCACATCAAAATAAATCAGGAGTAATCAAAATATATCATCACCTTATCAACACATTCACGTTTGTATGTCAGAACTTATAAAACACCACATCTTTCAATTTGAACTATGATAAGCGAGATGAAACAAATATGATAAAAGTGCAACGATTCGATGTGTCTACACGGTAATAGACGATTTTTGAGCGATTATTGAAATCAGTCATAAAACACATGGAAGCTTCTGAATATTTATAAATGTGAAATAAATGATAATAGCAATCAGATATT